CTTTTACCCGATCATCTACCCAAGCCAACAAAATCCCCGGTTTCATCCCCCCCCCTCAGACCGCTTTGGTTCCTCCAAATAGTTACTCCGACCTTTCCCCTTGCAATTTTTCCTTGTCTTTGACACAGGGCATTGTGGGCTTCCTTAAAAATGGGGTTTAGACGCTATCCCCAGCTATATTGCAGAGAACCCCCTTGATGGAATGAATGCCCTCCTTCTCCCCCATTTATTCAAAACCCTCGCAACAACGGGGGGGGAAACGTTTACCTTTCCCCCCACCTTTGACTCTACTGATCCTAAAAGCCCTGGGTTTTATCGTTTTTTTATTGTTGCCTTTTTTTATTTCTGTACTGTCTTTTTTACAATAGAATTTCGGGGCCTTTATGGGCAATCAAAAAACGCAATGTTGCTCCGCAGTTGTCCCCATTTTGTTGATTTTCAAGACCAAATTGGTTTTGCTGTCATTCGCCCCTTTTCAGGCCGTGCGTTACATTTTTCCGATCCTTTCCCGACAAATCTTTTAATGAAAGCTCGATTCTTTCCATTGATACAAAATCAACATGTTTGCTCTCTTTCACCCTCCCGAGCATTCTGATCTCGATTCCCCCTTAGTTTCTCCCCCAATGGTTTGGGAGCCATATAACTACCTTTTACTCTCCTAGAATGGAGTCCATGTTTTCCCATTTGTCACCATTGGCAATGGGACCTAAAGATATCCACAACAATGTACAAATCTCCATTGGGGCCCCTTCCCTTTCTTTTACGTCTTTTCAATCTTATTTGGGAGTGGGGGGTTCTCCCCAATAATAAAAATTTGGCTATTGTATTTCTTTTTCTAAAACCGGGCGCCTTAAGCTTGACACCTCTCACTATGGGCCAAATTGCCTAGCCCATGGGGTCGCTATGCCAAAACATAGCCGAAAAATTGCACTCTATTAAACCCCTTAGAACAGAAAACATAAGAAAAAGGAACATGCAAAAGGCCACTGACCCATGGTCCAGTCCCCCCCCGGGTTTCCCAATAACCCACCCAGTCTGGTCACCTCCACCAAAGAAGGAACCGCCCCCAACCCAACACAAGTAGTCAGGTCCAACTCCACCCCCCCCCACACCCCCTCATTATTTATCTAACCATTTTTAAAAGTACACAACGTTTTAGCCTCAATAACTGTACTCGGGAGTTTGTTCCACTCATCCACTTGGGTTTGTGGCCATCTTCCTACCACCGTTGCCGTTCTCGGGGACTGCACT